CTCAATTCCTTAATACATTGTCGGGAGGGGCTGATTTTGATTGGCATTGTCTCCCCCCGAGAGGAAGATTAGGCGGTATCTTACTTGGGGTTAGATGTGAGACGATGGAAGTCCGGACTGTGGTCATGGGAGATTTTGCTGTCAAATATCGGGTTAGGTCGAAGATCGACGGGTTTAATTGGGCCTTGGTGGCGGTCTATGGGGCCGCCCAGCCAGAATTAAAACCGGATTTTCTGGCGGATCTAGTCTGTATTTGCGGGTCTGAGCAGCTTCCAGTCTTAGTAGGGGGTGATTTCAATATCATTAGAAGGAGGGATGAAAAGAACAATGATAATTTTGATGGCAGATGGTCGTTTATGTTTAACACCATTATTGAAAGCTTGGATCTAAGAGAGATAGAGCTTTCGGGTAGAAAATTCACATGGGCTAATTCTTTGTCTACTACATTTGAGAAGCTGGACCGTGTCCTCGCGAGCGTTGACTGGGAACAGAAGTTTCCTCTAGTCACCGTCCAGGCTTTATCGCACGGAATCTCGGACCATACCCCTTTGCTGGTTGACTCTGGTGAGGCAACACACATGGGGAACAAGAATACCTTCTCTTTCGAACTAGCGTGGTTTGAGAGAGAAGGCTTTTTGATCTTATAGCCAGGGAATGCGCTAAAGATTCAGGAGGAAGAACTTCAATAGAGAGATGGCAGAATAAGATTCGTCACTTGCGAAGTTTCTTACGTGGGTGGGCTAAGCATCTTAGTGGGGTTTATAAGGTCGAAAAGGAAAGGCTCCTTTTCCTTATTCAGGTCTTAGATGTAAAAGCCGAGTGCACAATCCTAGATCCAACGAAACTTCATGTTAAACTAGATGCGGAGATGAGATTGAAAGAGCTTGTGCGAGAAGAAGAATTGAAGTGGGCATTGCGGGCGAAGGTTCGCAAAGTGGTCCAGGGGGATGCCAACACTCAGTTCTTTCATATGATCGCCAATGGCAAGCAATTAAATAAAAGGATCTTTCAGCTTGAGCAAGATGAAGGGACGATTGTAGGGCAGGAAAATTTAAAACTATACATCACTGATTATTATAAGAAACTATTTGGGCCTCCGGAGGATAATTTCGTATCTCTAGATGAGTCGCGGAATGAGGATATCCCTCAGTTGGCTTCAGATGAGAATGATATTTTAAATGCCCCATTCTCAGAGAAAGAGGTGTTTGAAGCTATTTCTTAAATGAAGAATAATTCAGCTCCGGGACCGGACGGATTTCCGGCGGAGTTTTATAAGAGGTATTGGCATATTATTAAAGGGGACTTGCTTCCGATCTTCCAGGACTTATTCGCTGGACAGCTTCATTTGTTTCATCTGAATTTTGGAACTATTACTTTGTTGCCTAAGAAAACAAAGGCGGTCCGAATTGAGCAGTTTAGGCCCATCTGTCTTCTGAATGTAAGTTTCAAAATAGTCACCAAGGTTGGGACAAATAGGCTCACGTAGATTGCGCATTCTATGGTGCAGCCATCCCAAACTGCCTTCATGCCGGATAGGAATATCCATGAAGGGGTGGTGGTCCTGCATGAAACGCTCCATGAAATCCATACGAAAAAACTAGATGGGGTGGTTTTTAAAGTGGATTTCGAAAAAGCGTACGACAAAGTCAAATGGCCATTCCTTCAACAAGCGTTGAGGATGAAAGATTTTGATCAAGCCTGGCGAAGACAGGTAGAATCTTTCACGCAAAAAGGCAATGTTGGAATTAAAGTGAATGATGACATAGGTCGCTATTTCCAAACACATAAGGGCCTAAGACAAGGAGATCCAATGTCACCTATTGTGTTCAACATTGTAGTTGATATGTTGACAATTCTAATAGGAAGGGCTAAGGATGCTAGACAGGTAGGTAGCTTGGTACCTCATCTAGTTGATGGAGGTGTATCTGTCCTACAGTACGCTGATGATACTATCATCTTTGTGGAGCATGACTTGGCAAAGGCGAGAAACATGAAGGTGGTGTTATACTTGTTCGAACAATTGTCCGGTCTGAAAATTAATTTTCACAAGAGTGAATTGTTCTGCTTTGGAAGAGCCAAGGAGGAACAAGAGGCATATAAGCAATTGTTCGGGTGTGAATTGGGGGCGTTACCTTTTGCGTATTTAGGTATACCCATTCATCATCGTAAGCTAACAAATAGCGAATGGAAGTGCATTGAGGATCGATTTGAGAAGAAACTGCGCTGCTGGAAGGGCAAACCGATGTCGTATGGAGGCCGGTTAATTCTTATTAATTCGGTGCTCACAAGTATGCCCATGTTCCTTTTGTCTTTTTTCGAAGTACCAGTGGGAGTTCGGAAAAGACTCGATTTCTATCAATCCCGTTTTTTCTGGCAAAGTGATGAGATGAAGAGAAAGTATAGATTAGCTAGATGGGACATTATTTGTCGAACGAAGGACCAAGGGGGTCTTGGTATCGAAAATCTTAAGGTAAAAAACAAATGTCTTCTTAGCAAATGGTCGTATAAGATTTCTCGAGAGACCGAGGCCACATGGGCACAGATTCTGCGTAATAAGTACCTTCAATCCAAGACCTTATCCCAGGTGACAGTGAGGCCGATGGATTAGCCTTTCTGGAAAGGCCTGATGAGAGTTAAATCGCTCTTTCTTAACCGGGCCAAGGTGGTTGTTGGTAACGGTACTTCTACAAGATTTTGGGAGGATACCTGGCTAGGGGATACGCCCCTGGCAGTGCAATATCCTTCTCTCTATAGTATTGTTCAACGGAGAGATGCAACCGTTGAGTCTGTATGTCAGTCCACGCCTCTAAATATTAGCTTCATAGCTTCAGGAGAGCATTAGCTGGCAAAAGTTGGGAAGCTTGGCTCCATCTTGTAAGAAGACTGATGGATGTTCAACTCTCTCAACGTCCGGACCAGTTGTGTTGGAAACTTACTAGGAATGGAGAATTTACGGTTAAATCCATGTGCTTGGATGTAATTAATTCTAGTACTATTCCTACGTCGAAACATGTTTGGCATGTCAAAGTTCCCTTGAAAGTTAAAGTGTTCATGTGGTTTGTGCATAAACAAGTCATTTTAACTAGGGATAACTTGATTAAACGCAACTGGACTGGATCCTCTTGCTGTAGCTTTTGTGACAGGGATGAAACAATTAAGCACCTATTTCTAGATTGTCCTATGACAAAGATTCTATGGCAATCAGTGAACACAGCCTTTAATATAACTCCTCCACATAATATTAACACGGTTTTTGGGACGTGGTTGGATGGGATAGAGTCCCAAACAGCGAGACACATTCATGTAGGAGTATGTGCGTTATTATGGGCTATATGGAATTGCAGAAATGATTTGGTATTTAACAGAACATCAGCTACTCATTTTTTGCAGGTTATATTCCGAGCCATGGCTTTGATTCGTATGTGGTACTCATTCCGACGGAGGCCATGGAGCGTTTGGTTACTGGATCTATCCGATGGGAGATGGTAGCACAGGATATTTTCAGCCGGTTTGGATGGCGGTCATGTAATAGGATAGGCAATTAGTTTTCCTTTCTATCTTTTGTCTGCCGGCTGTGGCATCTACTTTCGTTCCTTACCTCTCTATGAGCAGCTTTGTTCAAGACTTTTAGACTTGTGTTGAACCTATTTGCTTGTTAATGAAGGTGGTCGTATGCATCTTTCCAATGCAGAGGCCGGGGTTGTCCCCCTTTTCAAAAAAAAACACTAACTCATTAGTTGCATTGCTTGCAAGGCTTATAGTGATGTGCATTACCGAGAGGACCCAGAAATATCTCTCCGATAGTCGGAGTGACAAATCCTAATCTCGATCTATGCCAACTCAACAAGTACCATCAAAGACACCTGTGGAACACATTTATAATCATCCAGATACATTATGATGTTTGGTAGCACATAAAGTGTTTCTTCGATAATCAAGAGTTGCATAATTTTATAGTCATAAAAACATGTATAAGTCATGAAGAAAGTAATAGCAGTAAACTAAAACGATCAAGTTCTAAGCTAACGGAATGGGTCAAGTCAAATGACAACTCATGTCTATGGTTAGAAAACATAACCATCTTTAATCAACGAGCTAGTCAAGTAGAGTCATACTAATGACACTCTATTTGTCTATGTATTGACACATATATTATGTTTTCGGTTAATACAATTCTAGCATGAATAATAAACTTTTATCATGAAATAAGGAAATAAATAATAACTTTATTATTACCTCTAGGGCTATTTCCTTCATGAACCATGTCTTTTGCTAAACGTTGATGCATCTGTGTGCTTTGGGATATCTGAACTTCACTCAATCCATGTAAAAGGCATGTTAATTTATGCACAACACAGCTGATAAGTTATGCGCAAACACCGTGATAATTTTGAGCCAGGGGAAAGGATTTCAAAAACACATCCGGTAACTTTTGTGTAAATGACATGATAATATACTCCGCCATAGAACTGATAATTTACGCATGGTTTGAGCTATTAAACACCTCCGGAGCGAGTACGAACATGAGATCTAGTTTCAAAGATCTCATTGCAACATATCTTTTATATGGAAATTGTTTTTGCATCCGACCGATGGTTTGAGCTATAAAACATTTTGAATTTTTGGTAGAGAGAATCTAGGATGATGTCAGATTTGTTTGTCCTCTAGTGTATGCATATAATAAGACGAAGTGAGTCATTCTAATGCATGCATGCACTTAATTAGATGAAAAGTAGTGTGGTGTGTGCCAAATATCAAGTTCCAAAAAGATAACTGATACGAATTTCTGAACACAAATGAATTCCACAAGTTGCATTCATGTTCCCCACGTACAAATTCAATATACACTGCATGCTCAATGACAAGCTGAAGAAAAAAGATAGCTACTACAAAAATAATAATTCCACGATACTTTGAGCGATTCAACTTTCCATGAAGCACACACCTCACTATTCACAGGACTGCAAGGAGGACGAAAATAAAATAAAATGCGCGACAGATCAGCCATGGACCAGTACCTCATTTGAAGTGACCGGAGGGGCAGTCGAGCGAAGTCCTGTCTCATCTTCAACACTTGGTTCAGCAGCAAGCCCTTCCAAGGCAGAAGGTTCTGCAGGAGGGATTTCTACTGGGTTCTCTTGCAGCTGCTGTACCTTTTCTCTTGAAACTTTTGGTTTTGTCTTGGACGTTTTCTGCTTTGTAGCGATAGGTCTCGTTTCAGCCTTTGCAGTGATAGATGCTACGGAGGGAGCTTTTGTGACCAATCTCTGGCCGGGTTTGCTAGCAGTAACCCGAGGTTTATTATTTTCCGCACCTCTGTTTACCTTGGCTGGATTAGTTGTGCGCCGTGGGCTCTCACATGAGACGGAGCCATCTGCAGAAGCAGCAGTGACAGAACTGGTTGGCTTGTGTCGGCCAAGCTTCGGTGACCTAGCACGTGTTGGTGCAATCTGCAAAAGGCCACAAGTTTATATCAGGATGCTATGTTTACGAATGTAGCATCGCAAATATTTACATGAACAGGACATGCAGTAAGCAATTCTAACATCTTAGTACAAACTAGCAGATATACACTGTATATACACGAGGAAAAGCACTCAAACATCATCAACAAATAAGGATCAAACATCATCAACAAATAAGGAACTTAATCTAACTTGTGAACCAATGACATACAATGGAGAATGTGTTATTAGATCCTGGAATATCAAATGTGCATCAACTAATATCATAAACCTAGTCACCTAGTCACCTAGATTAGCAAGAAACCTGTTGATCCACTATTCCAAATAGTTGTCAGACAAAACAACAAGACCTAACGAGTCAGTACCACAGAAGCATTATGAGTTGTATAGTTATCTCAATGCTACACTGATGTGGATGCAGTAAATATTCTACGTTAACCTTTAAATTTTAATCATCAGGAAGCATTATGGTAGCGTGTGCGTGCGCGCCGCCGTGCGCTCGCGCGCGGGCGTGTGGTGTTTAATAACCCAGGGTGAAGAATAAGTAATTCTTCACCCTAATCGATCGACCGAGCCACATCTTGCTTGGGTCTAACCAAGCCACGGTTCATTTGATCGAGGCAAAAGCCCACCGTAAGATTACAACGGGGTTGAGGTTTTTCTACGTTTGATGACTTGACTTGACTCGATGCCTGCCCTCGTCCTCGTCCTTTTTTTGCTTAAAAGAAACCTACACGTCTTTTCCGCACCTCCCCGTCTTTTCCTAATCTGCTGTATACGGTTTCAGGCGAACGGCGGCATGGTGCTTGGCGGCGATTTGGCTGGGAGTGAAGCCATTGTTTGGCATGCTGGTGGGGCGGCGTGCTGCTCGACCGGCATGGTCTCGGCGATGGGTGGTCGCCGTGGTGTGTGGCGTCTGCATAGGTCTAGGGCCGCGCTGTGCACGTAGATGTGGCTGGTGACCCCGCCGGAGCTGTGGCAGGTGACCGCGACAGTGGATTAGGCGTCCGTGCATGGGCTGCTACATGATAGCATTGCCTCTGTTTGGATTGAAGTTTGGTTGGGCTTTTGACTGCATGGGAGGAGGTGAGCAACCCCAATTTTAGTGATTTCCGTTCCCAAATTCCAGTTAGCTCCCGCTTACGTTTCCCTTTGTCATGTTCTTCCCAAATTGATATCCATGCATCTGGGTGCTCCGGCGCCCCTCGAGGTCCTGATTTGACTACCAGCCGGTGGATGTGGGTTCTCCCGGTGGTGGAGTTGAAGGGGCCCCAATGGCTAAGGACTTGACCGGCAAGCTGGAGTCCACCACAACCAGCGTCCTCGAGCTCTAACACTAATAATCATTCATCTAGTCACGTGGGTATATGTAGCCATCTTTGCTTGCTTCAATAATTTTCAGTTAGTTGAATTCCCAATCTAGTTCGCAGTAGACGTGCAAGTAGAATCTTGCCTCCTGGTTGGTCAGCTGGTCACAGAGACAGTTTAGGTGATGTTCGCCCGGCACTAGTTCGGCCGCGACCACTTTGTGTTCTCCTCCGGCTCTGACCTACAGCTGCTTGCAGGTTACTAATCTTCTTCTATCTTCCATAAACAGAGGTGTCGATCCTATTGCATCTAATGAGTAATGACTCGTCAGGCCATATGGTGTGTTTCTTTCTATCTATTGTGATCCATCAAAAGTTAATTATTAGATTAAGCAATAAGAGATAATTAGTGTATTCATTATTAGATCTTTGTGGTTTCTGGTTCTCTCAAGTCGTACTGATAGAATTAAGCAATAAAATGTTGGCTATACTGTAAATAGGTATGTACTGATTTTGGGATTTATATTAGCTTGCAGACAACAGTTTAGCCAAAAGAAAATGAACAGACATTATAGCTAGTACTAAGAGGACAAGTATTGGAGCATATTCATTAGCTTGAAGAGAACAGTTGGCTATAAGATAATTGGGTTATTGTACTGATTTCAGGATTTATATTAACTTGAAGAGATGAGAGATATCTTGGCTCTGTAGCTGCAGAATCAGAATGGATTATAATGTGCCTTAGCTATATTTTTTTATTGATGCCGACTAACCTCTATGATATTTTTTAACAACTAACCTATGACTAGCTATGCAGCTTTCCATGTAAAAAATTTGGAAAACAATGGCTTACTTTCTGCATGACACCAAAGCATGAATTCTGATGCATCATAGAATGATTTTTCTTATCTTATCACGCGAAATATTCGTTGCTACCAAAATAGTACACATACATCAACCATTTGTTACTAAAACAAGAATCCTAAATTATCAACTTCCTACTTTTTACTGGAGCTTATGGATTTAGCATATGTTTAGGCACATTTTATTGAAGCGAATATAATTTTTGTTTATTGCTAAGCCATTGATTTTACGGAATATCCATATCACCATTTTTTCATTCAGATTCTTATAGACTGAAAAGCATTGATTTTAGTCTTCTTTAACATATCTTTCTATCTTCCAGAGCTATCCATTCAAATATCAGTATTCTGCATAATCTCTTGTGAAGTAATGTTCGGCACCATAGTTTTCTGAGTAAATCCAACGTTACCAAGAAACTGATTTTCGTTTTATGTCCATGGTTCTTTCTTCGTTAGATGCAATCTAAGTTCTAAATTTGCTGTTTTCAATACTATTGTCTTATTCATATTCTTGGATACTGTAAATTATTAAAGTAGGTTAATAACTAGAACGGTAGAAGCATGGTGTCACGACAACAATGAAAGGATGTCACTGTAATTCATATCTGTTTTATGTATTAATTATGATTGCATATGCACCATCACCCTTATACTCTACAACCTTGCTATACGTACGATGAATTTCCGTCCAACACTCAGTACGATTAGACAAATCATAGATTATCAGTTTGTGGGCCATAGCATGTGCTGTCTGGTCGTACGTAGGGCAGTTTTGTATACTCTATGTTCTGCATCAAAAAATCCATGCGTAAAGTCAACTTAATCTTTTGCCCGCAAAAAAAGAAGTCACTTAATCTTTGAATTTCTTTGCATCTGGCAGATAGTGTTGTTGCTCCCGTGATCAGCTTGTGATCGGAGAATTTAGGATGCAACACTATGGCACAGACAAAGTTGGACGGCTAGCTTTTCATGAGGATCTGCATGGAAAACAGGGTGGTGCTCAATATTCTTTATGAGAGCCCTCTAAATGTTGGGCAAAGGAACTACAGCTGAAACATCATTTTCTGTTTGGTTATGTTGGATTGAGAGCAAGAACCTCTGATGTATTAGTGGTCTCTGGAAGGTGGAAGGGGCTGCTGTAAACTATAAATAGGAAACCTTTTTTTATCGCAAATTTTCGTAGGTAGCTTACCAAGCTGACCGCTTGGTCGAAAACATATTGTTCATAGCATGTAAGATAGCTTCAGATTTTGTTTTGCACCCTGCGTCTTTCAGGTGGCGTTCAGGCAGGAAAATGTCCGTGCTTTTGTGATAATTTTCTCTCAAAAATCTCTCTGGCAACTGATTGATCCAAAAGTATTTGCAGGCTGGAAATGCTCAGATTTTCAGCGTGGCTGAATTTGATGTGGCGGTCAGAAAGTACAGATGTTGTGCAAAATAAAATATTCATGCAAAAATGCCTTGGTCAAACTAATTAAACAGAGCATATTACACAACTGTGCTGGCGTGTGTCATAAATTTACGTGGCAAGACTGGTCCTCAACTCCATGCCGTAAGTTTACCTCAGGTGGCCCTCAACTCCATGCCGTAAGTTTACCTCAGGTGGCCCTCAACTCCATGCCGTAAGTTTACCTCAGGTGGCCCTCAACTCCACGCCGTAACTTTACCTCAGGTACCCAACATAAATTTCAGTGCATGTGTGGCGTGTACAGTTTGGCTGGGGTGAGGAATAAGAGTTCCTCACCCAGGGTGACGAATAGCGCCGTAATTTTATGTTTCACCCCCCTCTATTTTACCATCAATGCACCGTAATTTTATGTTTCGTAAGTTTTGTCTTATTTTTGACATAAAAATATACCGTAAGAAAATATATATATATAGGGCCTTATCCATGAGCCAATGAACATTCGGTGGTACTCTTGGCATGGGTGCAAAGGAATTGTGCAATAAAATTGAAAATTAGCAAGTATTCCCTCCGTCCCAAATTACTTGTCTTAGATTTGTCTAGATACGGATGTATGTAGACACATTTTAGTGTTGATACATCCGTATCTAGACAAAATCTAAGACAAGTAATTTGGGACAGAGATTATATGAAATGGAAAGCAGAAACTGAACACAGAAAGTCCTCCAAGACTGACAAGCCAATGGAATTATGCCATACCTCCTCCGTCCGAAAATATAGTGCGTATTAGATTTTTTTTTCAAGTCAAAACTTGTGAATTTTGACCAAGTTTGTAGAAAAAGTTGTCAAAATCTAGGATACCAAATCAATATCATTAGATTCATCATAAAAAAATTCATATGATATATATACTTGGTATTGTAAGCATAGATAATTGTCTCGATAAACTTGATGAAAGTTTGTGAAGATTGACTTTCGCAACCAATGTGCACTATGATACATATTAGGGACTAAGGACAAACATAATCATTTAAAGTGTTATACCCAGAATTACACATTTTTACTAAAAGCCTATGTGGACAATGCATCTTAAAATCATGCATTTTGAGTAAGCCTGTAACAAATTATGCATCCTAGCAAGAAGACTCGCTAAATAAAATGTTTTTCAAGAACACAGACCTTAGTTGGTACTGAAGCACCACTCAAATTTGCTAGGGAGTGATAGTTGTGTCTGGATTTACTTGCTAAAACATTGTCTTTTCGGAACAGATATGGCATCAAAACAGAACATATTCACAAATTTATTAATGCATTTTGGAACAGACTACGCCTAGCTTACTGGATCTCTTATCTTGTACTCACATACTCATCTTCTCTCAAATGCATCAGTGCATACATCTAGTTTACTGGATCTCGTAACATGTATTCACATACTCATCTTCTCTAACAAGTGTGGCCCGTTGTGAACAGAAAGCTATACATCAGTTGTAATTTCTGGTATCCTATCATCCTTGTAACTTACAGCTAGTTATGCAAGATCTCTTGGCGAGCATTCAAATATCCGCCTGCTCTAACAATCCTATGCATTTTGAAACAAACATATTCTAACAAAGAAAAATGAAACTGCAAGCCAGAGACAAAGAGTTGGTAACATCTCTACGTTATTCTAACAACAGGAAATAGAACCATAGAAAGATTATTTATCCTACCGCATTAGAACTCATCAAACCATATGTCATTCATGCTTTCAAAGAGAAAAAACAGATACATTTGAATCATATGGAACTATTTATAACGAAGAAATAAGCAACTTCGGAAAAAGTGTATCGACATAAGTACCTTTTTCAACTCAACTTTAGGAGGCTGCTCCTTATAGAAGCTTGGCATGGGGGCTGCTTTAAATGTCAGGCTCTTCCTAAGCCTTTTAATCTCGGCCTCTTGGCTCTCCTGAGTGATGAACTAATTCTTAGAATCAAAGCATACAGATGATCAAAAAGGTTTTACATGAATTATACAAAAGCAGCTCTCACATAGACTAATGAACTAATTCTTAGAATCAAAGCATACAGATGATCAAAAGGCTTTACATGAAAGTAGTTCTCACCTTAGATTTTTCCTGCAAATTCGTTTGTTCAATCTCCTTGGCATGAATTTTCTCCTCAAGTTTCTTTAAGAACTGAAAGAAAGGAACAAGTGCATGCTTAATATAAAACAGAAACAAACATGCAACGACTAATTAACACATGCCACTGTGGAAATTAGTTACCTCTTTGCGCTTCTCAGCACGCTCCTCCAATCGGAAACTAAAACCAGAGGCAGCAGCATTCTTGCGTTGAGTATTCGTGCTCCTGTAACACAACACCAAATGGCAGCATTATGTATTAACGCCATCGTAAAAAATAACTGAGCAACAATTGTGAACACAAAAAGGCTTTACGATGTAGTGGAGTGCACATCATCCTCCATTTTCGCTGGAAATGACTGCCTGTAAGGTTTGGCAGTGTTCTCATTTGACCTGTGAAAGAATGCCAACCATTTGAGTGTAAGAAAGCAACAAGTTCAGATAAAAAATTGTTTTTATTTCATTGATCAATTAGTGTAACACTACAGTGGACTACCTTTGATTGTACGGTACAGATAAAGCAATAACCGAAACCACAAAGTCAAATGCAAGAATGCCCAAAAATGTGGTTTGGTAATACTGACTTACTCTTGGACTTCAGAAGGAGTGTCGTTTGGAGTTGAGTCCACCGATTCAGGCTTCATAGGCTACGTCAAAGAAAATAGAAACTAAGTTCACTAAAATGCAACTAAAAACCTACAGACTTTCGACATCCGAGTAACCAACTAATTGAGATCAGCACCTACCATGGATTGATGAGCGGCAGGAATCTGAGCCAAATTCCCCTTCTTCTCCGTGCCCCGTCCTGCAATTCCACCCCAATTATGTACGTGAACCCAACAGCAACCGTCACAGGCTAACTTAGGACAAGCCCAAAACTAACCAGATGAAGCTGCAGTTCCATTTGGCACGGCACCCTTCCCCTCTGGCTTGGCTTGCTTTGCCAGGGAGGTCATAGCGCCGCCCTTCCTGGCGCCGATGGTCCCTCTCGCGGGGAAGGAGGCGCTTTGCGACAGACCGGGCTTCTTCCCCCGCGGTGCCGCCGAGGCAGACACCACCTTGCCGTTCAGCACATTCCCCTTCTTCCTCCCGCTCGCGTCCGCAGATCCAACCTTCTGCGCACACCAACACACACCATTAGCGGCAGCAATGTATTAGCATGCACCAAAGTATGCCACGGAGTAAACTGAGAACCAGAATTCCGCGACCCCTGCACCTTGGTAGGCGCCCTGGCCGGCTCCTCGGGAGATGCCACCGCGGTTGCAGATCCGACCAGCGCCTCCCCGTCAGCGAGATCCACGTGATCACCACCATCCACATCCACCGGCGCGGCCACGGCGACGTCCTCCTTGCGAGCCTTGACGACGATGTTTTCCTCCCCTCCAAGTCCATTCGCTGCCGCACCTTCCTCGCGCTCACCCTCCATCCCCGCGTATCAGATCCGAGCCGGACACCACCGAGATCCGGCCAGGACCTCCCCGTGTCACTAGCTTGCCGTCGATGGGGGTCA